AGAAGGACATCTGGACACCATAGGTGGAGTCACTCCTGGAACTACTTCCTAAACAACTGGAGAGATATGTGGTTAGATTTATGCAACTAACAAAGTATGAACTACTGGTAAAAGACAAAGATTTCAGCATGACACAAACCATTTAACAGCAGAGTGTACATGCCTTGCTAAGCTCTCTCTGCTGCAACACTCCAAAAGTGAAACCCAAGGCCGGCAGCTCAGAATGCAGGTCATCAGTGTGTAATGGTGAGCAATGCACAGATCCAAACAGACACCAACTCTGTGCAGAGATTTAGTGACACATTTAAGGTTTGGGGGCCACAAATTATGGATTGCAGGCCAGGAAGAAATGACGTGTGGACCAAATGCAGCCCTGATCTAGGGGGGAAAATAAACCTGCCACCAGGATTACAACACTGACAACTAGCATGCGAAAACTACAAGGATCACTTTTGATACTCTTGTAGTTAAATGAGTCCCGAGGTTCCTGTGTGGACTCTCATGTGTCAGTTCAAACTTGTCTTTTGGCTAAATTTTTGTCCACAGAACTCACAGGCAAAAGGTTTCTGTCCTGTGTGGACTCTCATATGACTGTTTAAATTAGTCTTTTGACTAAATCTTTGTGTACAGAGTTCACAAGAAAAATTTTTGCTGTGCTGTGTGGACACTAATGTGACTGTTTAAAGTTGTCTTACGGCTAAAACTTTGCTCACAGAGCTCACAGGCAAAAGGTTTCTGTCCTGTGTGGACTCTCGTGTGCCTGGTTAAATTTGATTTTCTGCTAAATATTATTCCACAGTTGTCACAACCATATGATTTTAGTTCTTTCTGGACTTTCTTGCATGAGTCTACATGTTGCTTCACTGTGACACATTTTTTATTAACCAAAGAGCTTGAAGACCATTTTGCTGAACAACTTGTTGCTCTCACATGTTCCTGGAGAGACCCCTTGTGGAGAAATTGTTTACCACCCTCAGGGCAGCTAAAGGATTTGTTGACAGTCTTAACATCTGACTCACAAGACCTGTTCTCATTCCAGTCATGGTCTCCGTCTCCAGTTGCAGACACAGAGTCTGACAGTTCAGAGACCACATTCACATCATCATCCTCTTCATTATCTCCACTAACTTCAGTCTCAGAAGAACCTGATGTCTGTTCAGAAGGGTTCAGATCTGGGTTCCAGCTAGTTTCTGCTGTCAGCTGGTCAGCTGAGCTGCTGGTTGTAACATCTCTGTCTTCTATTTGCTGCTGACGAAGTTGTGAGACCAGGGGGTTGTGTTCATCTTCCTCACTCTTTATGGAAACAGCATTGAATAAAAAACCTGCCAACCTCAGCCTCCTCCTTGAAATGCAGATGCTCTCTCTCCAGACTGGTCAAGAGTTCCTCTTGTTCCTCCTTTATGTGGAAGTGTTCTGAGTCCTGCTGGTCCATACCAGCACTCTGCTCTTCAAAAGCTTCTCCTTTGATCAGTTCCACCTGTTAAACATCTGTAGGAAAGAAAGAAAAACATGATGTGAATAGCATTTTACGGTAGTTAAAAATAGATAATGATGGAATGTTGCAATGGCTTGTGGGATGCAGCCCTACACAAAAAGGCATGACTTTTGCATGGGTGCCTCGGCCTGAGTCGCTTCACTCATCTCAAAGTTGTAGTTGTAGTCCTAAATTCACTTCAATTCAGTTAATTTATATAGCGCCAAATCATGAAAATTGTCATCTCAAGGCACTTCACATGTAAAACATTCGGTAACCCTTCCTTTTACAGTCCCCTAAAACTTGCATGGTAATTATTACATAGCAAGTTTAAGTGTATTATTGTTTCTGAGTTCTTAAACAGTTATTACCATGTAACTCAGGTTCAATTTTAGTTTTTACTTTTATTAATAATTCCCAGTAAATACTGCTTTACACAGTAATTACACTTTATTACAATTATACACTTTAATTACACAATAATGCACTTTAACTTACAATGTAAATACCATGTAAGTACTTGGTAATTAGGGGACTGTAAAAGGAAGTGTTACTGCAGCATTTTGGAAGAATTTTAACGGCACTCTTTGGACTTTCAGATAGTAATGAATTACAGTTGAGGTAATAAATGCATGAACTAGTTTTTCAGCATCACTCCTGGAAAGGATGCTTCTAATCTGAGTAATATTTCAGAGTTGGAAGAAGGAAATCCTACAAACATGTTTAATGTGGGATTTGAATAACATGTCATTGTCAGAGGCTACGTTTGCATTGCATGCCTTGATGCTCAATTCAGATTTTTTGAGTAAATTAGATTTTTTTGTGTGGCTGTTCACACTGACTGAAATGCAACCAAACTCTCTCCAGTGTGAAAGCTTCATGGCATCAAAGCGACCCACATGCACAGAAGACAAGAAGTCACACTCAGTCGAGCCGAAACCAGGAACGGCGGAGTTGTGATGTCATTCTGATCCCGCCAATGAGTGAAAACTTTCGCACCTGTTAATTCTTCCATTTTGGGCTGGTAACTTCTAAAAACTGTAAGTATTTTATGGCTGCGCAGTGGCGCAGTGGTTAGAGCTGTTGCCTTGTAGCAAGAAGGTCCTGGGTTCGCTTCCCGGCCTGGTATCTTTCTGCATGGAGTTTGCATGATCTTCCTGTGCATGCGTGGGTTCTCTCCGGGTACTCCAGCTTCCTTCCACAGTCCAAAAACATGACTGTTAATTGGTCTGTTCAAACTGTACTCAGGTGTGTGTGCATGATTGTTTGTCCTGTGTCTGTGTTGCCCTGTGATGGACTGGCTCTTTGTCCAGGGTGTACCCCGCCTGATTGCCCGTTGACCATTGGAGATCCCCCCACACACACACACGACCCCACATGGACAAGCTGGTTCAGAAAATGGATGGATGGTAAGCATTTTATTCCTTGTTCCCGCCGTCTCCCTGAATTTATTATTCATTGAAAATGTTCCGGTATTAATTAATTCACAGACATTCTTATTGTGATCAACTGTGTCAAAAGCAGCACTGAGATGTAACAAGACTAGAAGAAACACAAGATTTGTAACTTTCACTAATGTGGTTTCAGTGCTGCGATACTCTCTAAAACCTTACTGAATTTCCTCTAACATCATTAGTGTTTAGATGCTCTCAAACCTGATTAGCCACTATTTTCTCAAAAACCTTAGATAAAAATGGAAGGTTAGATATTGGTCTATAACTCATTAGGTCATCTTGATCCAGAGGTTTCTTAAGTAAAAGTTTGATTAAAGCAACCTTAAAATCCTGCTGTACGTATCAATTTACTAAGGATCGATTGACTATATCTAAAATGGGGGAAGTAGCCAAGGGAAATGCTTATTTAAATTATTTGGTTGGGATTACAGTGGTGTGAAAAACTCTTTGCCCCCTTCCTGATTTCTTGTTCTTTTGCATGTTTGTCACACAAAATGTTTCTGATCATCAAACACATTTAACCATTAGTCAAAGATAACACAAGTAAACACAAAAGGCAGTTTTGAAATGATGTTTTTTATTATTTAGGGAGAGAACAAAATCCAAACCTACATTGCCCTGTGTGAAAAAGTAATTGCGCCCCCCCCCCCCCCCCCCTGTTTAAAAAAAACCCAACTGTGGTGTTTCACACCTGAGTTCAATTTCTGTAGCCACCCCCAAGCCTGATTACTGCCACACCTGTTTCAATCAAGACATCACTTAAATATGAGCCGCCTGACACAGAGAAGTAGACCAAAAGCACCTCAAAAGCTAGACATCATGCCAAGATCCAAAGAAATTCAAGAGGAAGTGAGAACAAAAGTAATTGAGATCTATCAGTCTGGTAAAGGTTATAAAGGCATTTCTAAAGCTTTGGGACTCCAGCGAACCACAGTGAGAGCCATTATCCACAAATGGCAACAACATGGAACAGTGGTGAACCTTCCCAGGAGTGGGCAGCCGACCAAAATTACCCCAAGACCGCAGAGACAACTCATGCGAAAGGTCACAAAAGACCCCAGGACAACTTCTAAAGAACTGCAGGCCTCACTTGCCTCAATTAAGGTCAGTGTTCACGACTCCACCATAAGAAAGAGACTGGGCAAAAATGGCCTGTATGGCAGATTTCCAAGACGCAAACCACTGTTAAGCAAAAATGACATTAGGGCTCGTCTCAATTTTGCTAAGAAACATCTCAATGATTGCCAAGACTTTTGGGAAAATCCCTTGTGGACTGATGAGACAAAGGCAGAACTTTTTGGAAGGCAAATGTCCCGTTACATATGGCGTAGAAGTAACACAGCATTTCAGACAAAGAACATCGTACCAACAGTAAAATATGGTGGTGGTAGTGTGATGGTCTGGGGTTGTTTTGCTGCTTCAGGAACTGGAAGGCTTGCTGTGATAAATGGAACCATGAATTCTACTGTCTACCAAAACATCCTGAAGGAGAATGTCCGGCCATCTGTTCGTCAACTAAAGCTGAAGCCATCTTGGGTGCTGCAGCAGGACAATGACCCAAAGCACACCAGGCAATCCACCTCTAAATGGCTGAAGAACAACAAAATGAAGACTTTGGAGTGGCCTAGTCAAAGTCCTGACCTGAATCCTATTGAGATGCTATGGCATGACCTTAAAAAGGTGGTTCATGCTAGAAAACCCTCAAATAAAGCTGAATTACAACCAGTGGCAGATTTAGCTATTTGGAGGCCCAAGGTAAACACAGACATGGGGCCCCCTTACACAAAATTTTTGACAATCTTATCTTTAACTGGATTTACGACACTTTTCCCTCTTCTGACATGAGTTATTTTCCCTTTTAATTGGTCCTCCTCTTTTTCCTGCCTTTCTCTCCCTATGAGCACCTTTCAATATTTGCTCTGCTTTCTTCTTCCTGTCAGTGCTCCTGTACTTTTGCCTTTCTTTTTTTTCTTCTATTTTCCATTTTGGTCTCTGTTTTCCACCCTTTAAACACTTTCCATTGTCTTTTTCTGCTTCCTTTTGATGTTCACATAAAAAAAACAACGTCACTTTCAGAAGTGAAGATAAAAGCTTTTTTAAAGCAAGCTGCTTCTTTCTCTTACTGGAGCCACTAGGATAACTCCACTTCATGTGTGAAAGTGATTTTGCATCGTACAACAAAAAATACTGCACAGCAAAATTTGATGAAAGGCATTGGATTTAATACGATGTTTAAAGAAACAAACCTGTGCAAAGTGAGGCAAGTTTTGCGGAAATAAAATGACAGAGTGACAGCAGTGACGGGTTATTGTTGGAGGTATTAACTTTCACATTGAAGACTACTTTTCCACAAGCTTTTCCAGCCTCATCAACTCTTTCACTTTTACTTTGCATGTTTCTGACCCCACACAATATTATGATTTCACAGATCGGTCACATTGTATTATTGACTAACAGTTGTTTTGATTAGCTTTACTGAAAATTGAGTTATTTGATCTAATAAAAGAAAAGAAAAGAGTCTTCATCTTCTGTCTTCATTGCTGGAACGTAAACAGTTTAGAAGCGAATGCATGACCTTGAGGCTCTTTCATGCACTCTGGCGCAGTGTCAAAGGGAACAGTGGTTAGAGGATAACCATGAGAAATGGCTCCATCATCACGTTACACAATATATTTTAACAGCACGGAATACATGCCACGCTAATCTCTCTGCGCTGCAACACTCCAAAAGTACAAATTAAGAACAGCAGTTCATTATTGTGTATCAGGAACCTGTGATTACCTTTTTCTTATTTTTTGTTCTTCCTTCACATTTTTAATCTAAATATTTACGTTCCCCCCATTTTTTCCATTATATTTTTAAATCATTTTAATTTTATTTTTTTGCTCTTGTGAAGCACCTTATGATTTTTATCTCGAGAGGTTCTACATGTAAAAATATTATCTTCTATTGATGAGCGACGAAACGCTATTGCGCCACCTCTCAATTGAAATTTGGATTTATTAACACACAGCTGGGGGGCCATATTATGTGGCTTGCAGGGCAGGAAAAAGTGGTTCATGGGCTGGAGGTGGCCTTGATATAGGGTCAAGGACAGCCACAAGGGGTACAAGACTGAAATCTGGGCTGTTAAAAAATACAAAGATCCCTTTCAATTTTCTTGAAGTTAAATTAATCCCTAGAATCTTGTATGGACTCTCATGTGTCTGTTTAAAGTAGACTTTTGACTAAACCTTTGTCCACATAGCTCACAAGTGAAAGGCTTCTGTCCTGTGTGAACTCTCATATGACTTTTTAAAGTAGGCTTTCGACTAAAACTTTGTCCACAGAGCTCACAAGTAAAAGGCTTCTCTCCTGTGTGGACAATCATGTGACTGTTCATAGTTGTCTTTCGACTAAATCTTTGTCCACAGAGCTCACAGGAAAAAGGTTTCTCTCCTGTGTGGACAATTATGTGACTGTTTAAATGTTCCTTTCGCCTAAATCCTTGTCCACAAAGCTCACAAGCAAAAGGCTTCTGTCCTGTGTGGACTCTTACGTGACTGTTTAAATGTGTTTTTCGACTAAATCTTTTTCCACAGAGCTCACAAGCAAAGGGCTTTTGTCCTGTGTGGACTCTCATGTGACTGTTTAAATGAGTCTTTTGGCCAAAACTTTGTCCACACAGCTCACAGACAAAAGGCTTCTGTCCTGTATGGATTGCCACGTGTCTCTTTAAATGCTCTTTTCGGCTAAATTTTTGTTCACAAAGCTCACAAGTGAAAGGTTTCTGTCCTGTGTGGACTCTAATGTGACTATTTAAATGTGTCTTTTGGCTAAATCTTTGTCCACAGAGCTTACAAGCAAAGGGTTTTTGTCCTGTGTGGACTCTTAAATGACTTTTTAAATATTCCTTTCGGCTAAATCTTTGTCCACAGCGCTCACAAAAATAGGGCTTTTTTCCTGTGAGGACTCTCATGTGTCTGCTTAAAGTAGTCTTTTGGCTAAATGTTTTTTTACAAAGATCACAGGCGAAAGGTTTATGTCCTATTTGGGCTCTTGTGTAAGTGTTTAAAATTGATTTTCTGCCAAATATTATTCCACAGTTGTCACAACTATATGATTTTAGCTCTTTCTGGACATTCCCACATGAGTCAACATGCTTCTTCACTCTAACACATTTCTTATTAACCAAACAGCGTGAAGATCTTTTTGCTGAACAACTTGTTGCTCTTACATGTTTCTGGAGAGCCCACTTGTGGAGAAACTGTTTATCACACTCAGGGCAGCTAAAGGATTTATTGACAGTCTTAACATCTGACTCAGAAAACCTGTCATTCCAGTTATTGTCTTCAATTTCAGAACCAGAGTCTGACAGCTCAGAGTCTATATTCACACCACCCTCTTCATCATCTCCACTAACTTCAGTTGCTGAAGAATTGGATGCCTGTTCATGAGAATTCAGATCTGGGTTTCTGCTAGTTTCTGCTCCTCCACTAGTTCTTGCTTTTGTCTGTTCAGGTGAGCTGCTGGTTGGAACAACCCTGTCTTCTACTTGCTGCTGATGAAGTTGTGAAAACAGAGGTTTCTCTTCATCATCCTCACTCTTTATAGAAACAGTAGAGAATGGAAACTTGGCAGCATCATTCTCTTCCTTCACGTGGAGCTTGTCTTCCTCCAGACTAATCCAGATTTGCTCCTGTTCCTCCTTTACGTGGAAGTGCTTTGGGTCCTGCTGGTCTACACCAGCATTCTGTTCTTCAGAAACTTCTTCTTTAACCAGCATCATTTGTTGAACCTCTGCAGGAAACACATAAACACATAATGTGAATCGCTGACTTTATATTCCCACGTGTAACGAATATATACTGCCTGGCCAAAAAAAAAAAAAAATTCCATCACCAAAGACAAACACACTAATATTTTGTTAGACCGCCTTTAGTTTTGATTATGGCACACATTCGCTGTGGCATTATTTCAATAGCGTTCTGCAATGTCAAAAGATTTATTTCCATCGAGTGTTGCCTTAATTTTTCAACAAGATCTTGCAATGATTATGGTAGAGTCTGACCGCTTCACAAAGCCTTCTACAGAAAAACCCAAAGATTAGCAATAGTTATGAGTTAAGGTCTGGACTTTGTGGTGGACGATTCATGTGTGAAAATTATGTCTCACACTCCATCAGGGTTTCCCCCAGGGCTTTATAAGCCTGGTGGCCTGCCAGGCTTTGCTTGGCCACCCGCCAATCTAAGTGTCATGCCCCGCCCCCCTCACCGGCCCTACTGTGTCCTCTGGCATGAACGGCGCAATGAAACTAGACCCCTCAATCAGCTGATAGTGGTGAAAAACAGCAGCGGAACGTGCGCAACCCCCCCTCCCCCTCACGGAACGTGCGCCCGCCCCCCCTTCCTCTGACGTCCAAAGCTGCCAGGCTTAACTCATTTTCTGGGGGAAACCCTGCTCCATGAACCACTCTTTCACAATTTGAGACCAATGAGTCCTGGCAATATCATCTTGGAATATGGCCATGCCATCAGCAAATAAATAAATAAAATTAACACCTATTGATGCAATAACCTGGTCATTCAGTATATTCAGGAAGTCAGCTGACCTCCTTCTTGAAGCACATTCTGTTGCTGAACCTAGACCTGACCAACTGCAGCAACCCCAGATCATAGCACTGCCCCAACAGGTTTGTACAGTAGGCACTAGGCATGATGGTGCATCACTTCATCTGCCTCTCTTCTTACCCTGATGCATCATCACTCTGGAACAGTGTCAGTCTGGTCTTATCAGACCACATGACCTTCTTCCATTGCTCCAGAGTCCAATCTTTATGCTCCCTAGCAAACTGAAGCCCTTTTTCCCCAGTTTGCCTCACTGATGGACCCGGTACCAAGTTCACGAGCATTTCCGGCAACAAAGTTGTTCCAAAAACATGCTTAATATTCACCAATATATGCCAATTGCACACGTACTTAACGGAAAGAGGCTAATCTAAACAAGAAAATCCACGTTTTCTACCTCAACAACAACCAATGACAATAAGCCGCTAAACGAAAAGTAAAACAAAGCTAACTTAATGAAGTCAAATGCATAAATTCAGTCTTACCTTTGCTGGTTTATGGTCTATTTATCAGTTTGAAACCTGTGATTGACCCACCAGAATGCTGCTAGGGACCGCGGAGGTTCCAATGGTGCATCCCTAGACCAAGCTTTGCAAAGCAAGAATTTGGTCTAGTTCACTAGGCTAGCAAAGTGTTGTTTATTAACCAAGTTTCAAGGTAATTTAAAATGTCTAACTTTATTGTTATTAGAAAGGTTTGGTTGTTAACTTGCTTGCATGGCAGTCGAGCAGTTAGCACGTGGTAAAAAACTGCATGGCTGTTTGTTGTCTGGGTGCTTTTTGTGTTGGCAGGGAAGCATTGTTTTTCCAAAACTAGTCAAAACTCAGAGGACTAGGAGGAAATGGGCTGAGATTTAGGTGAGAATATGACTGCTCTTAAAGTGTGGTTTGGCTAGCAAACTAGGGCATGATATCCTTGATGCTTCTCCTCTGTCCGTGGACGGAGGGGTCGGCGATATGAAAAAAAAAAACATAACATGATTTATTCTTCACGATCACAATTTTATCAAGATTTTTTCCATTTTGATAATTCAGATGCTTTGGAAGTTATTTGCCAGTAAAGTACATCAATTTAGAAGCATACTCCTTCACAGAAAATAAGATTAAAGATTTCAGAATCCTAAACTTCCAATATCCATCCATCCATCCGCTAGATACATGTCTCAAATATCCCACAGGCCCATTTACTATTTAACTAACTATTGTAACTTAATGAAGGAGCTATTCCTCCAAGGTGTTACAAAATCCCTACAATAAAAAGTTCCAATCTTCTGGTTAAATAACTCAGCAGTCCGTAAGATTGATTTCATACTCAATATGGAATCTTAATGTCTCACGGGTCCTTAATTAGATGTAAATTAACTTCTTTTACAGTATACTTGGAAATTACATTTTATGGCATGACTTTGTCCATCAGGCCTACATCTCCACACCATCAGGTCATCACCTCCACCCACCCTCAGACCCACACAGACATTAGAGAAGCTCAGCAGGCTCCACAAGCTCCTCAGACAACTGAGGTGGAAAATGAACCTTTTTAAGTATCTCTTTCAGACGTCACTGACCCGTGTGATGGAAGCTAGTACCGTATTTTCCGGACTATAAGCCGCTACTTTTTCCCACGCTTTGAACCATGCGGCTTATAATGAGGTGCGGCTTTAGTCTACCAGAGAGTATGGATGCTGGAAAGTCTAATGAAGGAATGGTTAAAAGAGTACTACGGAAAGTGCCCAGGAGGATTTTTTTCACAGTAAAACGGCGCTGCTTGTTTTCCCAGCTTCACCCCGGGATGATGACAGCAACACGGAGAGTTACACTGACATCGCCACAGAAAAGGTATGTGACGAAGCTCTTCTGAGGCTGTTCAACTCTGACACTGAAGAAGAGGACTTCAGTGGTTTCAGTGCACAGGAGGATGATGAATAAACTAATCAATAACTTTTCTGTTTTGTTTGATACTGATCAGTTCAGTTACGTTCAGTTAAACTACGTTTTCAATTCAGTAGATATCTGCGGCTTATACTGAGGTGCGCTCTATAGTCCGGAAATTACGGCATTTGTAATATTCTGTGCTTGTTCATAAAATGGATTTATTGGCATCACTGGTGTCTTTGTTATATTAGCTTGTTAAAAGCACTGTATGGGATCGATGACTGTAAAATATGCTACAAAATAAATGGGTTAACACATAATTCTGACTTTAAATAAAGTAAAATTAATAATCAACCGTTATAGGTACAATCAGGGATCCAATATGGGAGAAACCTGGGTTGCCTGGGTGGGCTTTGTATAGGGCCCATCCAGGGCTCATCTTCAGCCACCTGGGCTTGACCATATGGGGCCACCATGGAACCCTTTGACAAAACTGACTGGGACAGAGATTGTATGTAACCCATATGAGCCCCACATGGGTGTGTTGGCAGGGAGCCACATTGTTGCTACATAGCAGTCACTGGCCAAGGAAGATTCAGATTCAACGTGTTGCACAGTTTGAACCTGAAGAGGGAATTAAACTGATGGTTTATGGCTGAATTTTTGACATTTTAAAAAAAGTGAATCAAAATGCAAAAATGACTACACATGCTAGCGACACAACTGGACATTCATTTAGAAGAAACAATCTTTTATATAGCGCTGCCTCTCAACATAAAAATCACGAGGTGCTTCACAAGAACAAAAAATTCAAAATAAAAAAAGATTTAAAAAAGATATATAATTGGGAAATATCCAAAATTGTGAATAAAAATGCAAGAAAGGGGAAAGAGTAAAAGAGCAAGAAAGAGGTCATCAGTGGATTTATAGTTTATCAGCAAATAAGTTGGTGTTTGTGTGACTTGCTGTTTAATACCGAAGAGCATGAGTCTACCTCTAAGTCTCACACACACACACACACACACACACACACACACACACACACACACACACACACACACACACACACACACACACACAAAGTACCTGTGTCCATGCTGTCCAGGTCCAGGTGGTGAAGAACACACGATGAATCAGTCCCAGATCCTGAAGTGGTAGCAGGTTTTCTTTAGCCGTGTTTAGCTAACAGCTGCAATAGAAACAAAGCAGGAGAGCTGATTAAGATGCTGCTTCAGAACAACGCAGGAGATTAAAGATCCAACGCTTTGGTTCTGATCAGCTGAGGACAGATCCAGTCTGGAAAAGAGGACCTTTGCTCACCAGAGTTCACGGAGTAGAGCTAACCGCTTTTTCCTCCAGAGTCACATTCAGATTCGGGGCTTTTCCGTCGGAGAGTGTGAGCAGGATGGATCAGAGAGCGAGCAGCGATCCTGCATCATGACCAACTCAGATGAGCGAGTCTGATAGAGGGAACCTCTTCAATCTGATGAAAGCAGCAAAACGAGCGCGTTTCTCAGAGAGGCCAAAGGAACAGCAGCAGATCCAGAGGGCAGGAAGTCTAGAGAAAAGCTTTTCTCACCCACAACCTGATTCTGGAGCTCCGATTGTCACGAAGACCGCAGAATATCTTCTCTGGTTCTGGAAAGAACTCCACCAAGTTGTTGAGGAGGAGAAGAAAGTTTCCACAGCCTGGTGAGAAGATTTCTGCAGCAGCAGCAGTTAGTCGCTTTAGCTGATCAACTCTCCCAGAGACTGAAGTGAAGACATTTTTACTGCAGAGCCTCAAATGTTCCCCTTACACACCAGAACAACAAGCTAGCTCTGCTAGCAGCTTCCGGTTTCTGCTTCGTCCGGTGGTTGCTGACCAGCGTAAAGGTGCACTACCGCCACCTGCTGGACTGGAGTAATTTCCACAGACGTGTGTTCAGCATTTGACTAATAAACCATATTTTAGGTAAAGACAAGTTATGTTTCTGTTATATTTTTGTTATTTTTATATTTGCTTCAAAACCCGTGACAACTTTTTAAAAAAGCGTTTTTCATTATGATGTTCCTTTATTTTAATTTGACCAAGTTTTTTTTCTCTTGACTTTCTGACCTCAATCTGTTTTTCATCGAAGCAGTAGAAAAGTTAAAAATAAATAAATGACTAGATAAAAATTTGGGAAGGTGTTAATTTGGCAATGGTTTCATGTGATGCTTGTTGTGTTCAGTGGAGAATAAAGTCGGTAAAGACGGCTCTCCCTTGCACTGCCTCCAACATGCCTCCATCTAAAAGGCTAGCTTATCAGTTTTTAAATTGGCTATAAAACACAAAAAGGTTAAGTTGCTGAAATAACTAAATAAAATGATAATGGCTGTTACAAAGTTGTTAATATTATATTAACGTTTACACAATATGTCATCGGTGCTCCGGTCTTGGGTTTTTCATGTGCATAAAAACCATTTATTACAGATTTTGTCCACATACCGGTGTCCGACGTCTTTATTTAACATATCCCCGTGTGGCAAGTGGTAGTCATAGCATAAATTAATTAGAGGATAAAAAGTTGCAACAACGCCACCCTGGGGTAACCCCCCCAGAGAAGGGTAGAATAAGGCCCATAAGTCCAATAATCACTAGGGGAACAGATGGTTTCTTTTCAATAAAACAAGTCTTTATTTAGATATCCAAGCCAAAACATACAGATGTAATAAGTTCTCGGAGTCCAGTTATCATAGGTCAATCCACCATAATTTCCCACAATAGCCTATGGTGAACCTATACAAAAATAACGTTAAACATGCAAAAAGTAAATAAGCAAAATACACCAAAGAATAATGATGAAATCAACGTACAACAAACACAGCAAACTAAATAAAGATGAATCCCCCTTAACCCTTGTGGGCGTTCTGGTGGTTGCCCTGGCAACCAGACGTCTGACGCCCAGCATCTAGTTAAAACAAACCAATGAAGACGGAACAGTGGTGATGCAGCCCCCTGGGCACACCACCAGCTCTGGAGATGGGATTAGTCGTGGCGGGACGGCGAGATGGAGCAGCAGAGGGAACGGTGCTCCGCCGACGACGTCAGACGCTCAGCTGATCTAGGTGGGGCGCTGCAGGCAAAGCCAGATAAACAAAGCGGATCTCAGGCCAACCAGCGCGGGCAGCCACGCTGCGAACAAACAAAACTGGCATGGTCCCCTGGATCAACACAACCCTCCCCAAGCAGAGGCGAGGATTTATGGTTGTTGCGCCATTGGATCAGATCAGCCTTCATACGGCTGACACACCCACACGGGCAGAGAGCTAACCAGGAGTACCTGCTTGCAGTGTTAACACTATAACTTATGGGCAGCAGTAGCTCAACAGGTTGAGCGGGTTGTCCAGTAATCGGAAGGTTGCAGGTTCGATCCCGGCTCCGGACAGAGAATTCTGCTGTTGTGTCCTTGGGCAAGACACTTAACCCACCTTGCCTGCTAGTGGTGGTCGGAGGGACCAGTGGCGCCTGTGCTCGGCAGCCTCACCTCTGTCAGTACGCCCCAGGGCAGCTGTGGCTACATTGTAGCTCATCACCACCAGTGTGTGAATGGATGAATGATACACTGTAGTGTAAAGCGCTTTGGAGTCCTTACTCTGAGAGGCGCTATACAAGTGCGGGTCATATATCATTGTCATTATCATAACAGCATGCGCAGCTCCATTCTGCGATCGCACGCTACAAATAAATAAAGATGGAAAAATGAGCATGAACTAACAGTGGGATATATGCTGGATTCCTGGAAGGAGTGGAAGATCATATGCCTCTGCCAGCTGTCCATTGAGGACATCGAAGATGTGTGGATATTTGGCCTGATGATCACTGGATTTCTCCTGATTGGAGTGGGAGGATATCTGGTTTTCTGGAAATTTGGGAAGACGGGAGCGATTGGAGGGCGACCCGCACCCACGGATAGCACCGTCCGTAGACTTCTCAGACTGGGACGTTACTCGAGGTGAATCGTAAGCTGGACAATGTTCTAGCTGCGATACCGGTGTCGGTACAAGATCTGCTCGGGTGCAAGATCGGCTCGGGGTCCTTCGACTGCCGATGACGGCAAAACCCACTCGGACAAAATACACCACATCTATACTGTTGGAAAGAATTTAGCAGTTTCATTATTAAAATAATGTTTCATAAGACGTAAGTTTGTGTTTATAATGGTATTTGTAAAATAAAACACTATATTGTATTCATAATGTTGAACTCCTCTTTGAGCACATGCCTTGAAGGATCATAGGTATTAGCAACACCTGTGATATTGTATTTGCAGGAAAGAAGTGTGTCCCGTTTATTGAAGTATTTTATGTTTAGAGTTTTTGACATCTTATCCATGCGTAGTCCAGTTACACTCATAGCTGCTAGCCAAAACTCTGGAGTTAAAAGTTTTCTGGCTTTACTAAAATACATGTCTGTACTTATTTGATTGATGGTAGTTTTACTTTCTAATAGACTCCAAATGTAATCATTTGGCACGTTTCTAATCCATAATTTGTAATAATGTAATCGGTGATATTAGCATTAGCATTCCTATGGGTTTTTCCACATATATTAGCATTGCGCTAACCACTCGCTGCCAAATTGCAGCCTTTGCGATTAGAAAATCTCCTTTTGTCATATCACAATTTAATTGCACATGCAGTTAATCGTTCAGCCCTAATATACATGCAGCTCTATGCTAAAAGTGTATTTTCAAAGAGGTAATGATGGATTTCTTTGTAAAAGTTGTCCATCTTTCCAACAGAAAGATTTGCCTGGACCAACGTAACGTGATAACAACGCAACGTGATAACAACGTAACGTGATAACAACGTAACGTGATAACAACGTAACGTGATAACAACGTAACGCGATTACGTAATTCCGTAAGGTTCATGTTCAGCCAATCAACTACTTTGACGTCATCGGCAGTCGAAGGACCCCGAGCCGATCTTGCACCCGAGCAGATCTTGTACCGACACTGGTATTAGTGCGCAAAATGGATGTCATCTCGGAGTGGGTCACCGGACGGTATGGACAGGTTTAAAACCCAAAATTGGCTTCACTGAAGGACTGGAAATGATCAGTTTAAAGACTGAAGGCAGAGAGAAAATTATCTCAGCCTGACCCAAAATCTTGTTATCTGAATCTGATGCCCTGGTAGCCTTGAGCTGCAAGCAACTAAAACCCCCCACGAAGGAATGCAGACAGATGCTGCGAAAACCTGACCCCCACCCCTCGGATTGGTGGACTTCAGCCTGGCGAGGTCATCAATCTGTAGGAGTCAATGTACTCTTTGCTTCTCCCAAGATCTCCTTCCCACCTGTGACTGTACTGTAGATGAGCGCCAGATGGCTGCTCTCACTGGGGGAAGCAGGATTTCTCTGTTTCACAGGAACTTCCTGTGATGACTGCTTTGATAACTTTTAAGACTTTGTGCCGATGATCCACATGAATTGTGTAGTGGATGAAATTACATCATTAAATTAGCTCAACGTGATAAATAAAATAAAAAAAGACTGATAATATTGTGAATGACATGATTTGCCCCACCCATAGATGGAATTTAAATTATTATACATGAGCTAAAGATGGACAGATAATAAAAAAAGCAAAGAACCATGTAAAACACAATAACCTGAAGTCTATTTGTGGTTTTTGTAATCCAGATTTAGATCTGATCAGATTCCTTTAGTTGGCTAACTGGGTTTAGTCCTGCCTGGTCCTTGTTTCCTGAGCTGCAGGTGTAATGACACCAGGTGGGCTTGTGGTTGGGCTCTCTGCTTTTTGTGAAGCTCCACATTTTTCATACCAAGATTGAGGACCATTGTAAAGTTCACCTTTTTTTATTTTTACATATATTTATTCTGTTGCAAGCGTAGATATGCATATTTCTGGCCACAAACCACTGAAATGTTATTTGAAAGTATTGAAAAGATAATAAATTTCACCACAAACCTGGAGTTACCAGACTAAAACTTGGAGAATACACGTTCACAGCTTATACTAAAGAGAAATGTCCAGGTGTTCCTTAAACGCCCCAGCTCTGAAGTCACATGGCTCTGTTGCTCCACCTCAGAGTTGTCATGCTGGTAAACTAGATCTATTAAACCTAAACAAAATAAATAAATTAATAATAAATAAATAACTAAATAAAGGAACCAGACTGTAAACATGTTTATTTCTGCTGTGAAATTGGCATTTTTAACTTGGAAGTCAATGAGGGTTTGCTCACTTCTGCTGTCCGCCCCTAGTGGATGAGGGTGGAACTGCAATCGTCGCCACTTCTGTGTCAGCTTCATAAAACTCCCAGGATTGTGGGGGCCTGGTTGTGATTAAATGTTTAGAAAGAGCTGCAGCTGCAGGTAAATGCAGCTTTATCTCAGCTGTTTGCTTGAATGATTTAATAAAACACTACTAAGTGGCAAACTGCTGTTTGATATTATGAAATTATTTCATCGCTTGTTGCTTCTTAAGCGTCCTTTAATCTTAGGGTAGCCCAGACCGATACTTTGGGATTTATTTTAAACGAGTAAGGCTGTAGCATCCTGGTGGCCATCTCTTACCAGAAAAAGTATTTATATTAGTAACATTAGGTTTGAATGAGGTTAAATACTGGTGGTGTTTACTCCGAACTCAACTTCCAAAAAGGAAAAAATAACATTGTGACGAACCCAGAGGTTTCCGCCCTGCTGCACACCTGGTGGCACCCTGCTGCAGGCCTCAAGACCCGCAGTGCTACCGTTCACCACCAGAGACCAGCAGAGTGATGGCTGCCCCTGAAGTCTTTTTTAAGCCTCCCTTGGTCTTCAGTCATGGAGACACAGTGACAGAGACTTGGTGTTAAAACTCTCTCTGAGCTACTCTGTTTTGTATTTGCCCAAACTGTGCTCTCCATTCCTGAGGGTTTTGTTTAGTGCCCCAGTTGCTAGTGATATTTTGTGCCCTTGTGCCACCTGTTTTGTGTTTCTCTTGTGAATCTCCAAATCCTCAGTTTAGTCTGGCTTTAGTTGTTTTCCTTTGAGGATTTTTAGTTAAAGGAGATTTCTAGTTAGATAGTTGTGGTTCTGTCTTTGTCCATATGGAAATGGTTTAATCTTAGAAACCCCATTTTGTCGCTGATTAGTTCAGTTAGGAGTTGTTACCCACTTGGTTTGAAACCAGAGAGAGCGCTTTAAGTTAGTGGTTGTTTGGCTGCTCCCTATTTTTAGCAGAGGGAGTTTAGTATTGAAAACCTTTTATCCAACCTTTTGTAAATAAACCTTTTTAAACCTACCATTCTCTCCCTTAACATCCCAACTGACACCATCCCTAGGATAAGTACGGCTCCTAGACGCCAGAGGGGACGTAACAAACATTACGAGCCTCGGGGAAAAATCTATAAATGTACTTAAGTCCTTGACAGAAAACCACGTTATTTAGTGGTGATTCTGTTCGATTTGATCAACTTTAAGCTCACAACCGCTGCAAGATGTTAAAGCGACAGCACTCGTACTTACTGCGAGTGCCACTCTGCCTCGTAGTCTGCAGCGTGCCTTCTCTTCGATTGGTCAAATGACAACGCGAGACTGACACACTAGAACAAACATTGTTTGTGAAAAAGAGGCACCTCCTATCCTTTCTCTGGTTGATTCTCATAAAGAGGCTGAAACCCAACAGAAGACCCCCCCCCCCCCTCCAACAAACTCTTCAGAACTACACGATTCACGTGAACTCCACTTTCAACTTCAAAAAGTGTGATTTTCATCGAAAAGCTACAAGTTTGCAGTAGGGTGGGGTGATATGGCCTAAAATCAATATCAAGATATGTTGAGGATTTCACCTCGATAAATGGACGATGACTACAGGTATGCGCAGAAACAAAAGTTGTCCACTAGATGGGGCTGTCGCATGTTACGTTGAGTGACATTTTTACGTGACTCAAGGTGGTACCGCTTCTTAAAGGGACATGAATTTTGCCAACCTACACAAATCTCTTCTTTTTTTTTTCATCAAATTTATTGACATGGAAATAATTATCTCGATAGGAGTCAGAAATGTTGATAAAGATACATTTTTGATTCATTGCCCAGCCCTAGTTTGCAGGTATGATTACACCCTCCTTTGATTTTCACCGGGGCTTCCTCTTGGCACACTGGTCACCTTCCTCCTGTCTGGAGTGGTGTTTGTTACCCAGCTGGGTCGGGTGAGTCACTTATTTTTACCATAAACTGACACACAAGATGTGAAAACTACAAGGATCCCCTTTTAGTACTCTCGTAGTTAAATGATTACCCAGGGTAAACCAAAAATACTTTGCCGCCTCTTGGTGGAAATGGGAATTTAGTGAAATTTTACAATTTGGGAACAACAGCATGTGGTTCAAAGGCAAGAAATCACTTTTGGTATTCTTGTGGTTCAACAAGTTCTTTGTGTCTCAAGTGGACTTTCATGTGGCTGTTTAAATGTGTCTTCCTGCTAAATGCTCGTCCACAGAGCTCACAAGCAAACGGTTTGTTTCCCATGTGAACCTTCATGTGACTGCTTAAACCTGTCTTTAGGCTAAATCTTTGTCCACATAGTTCACAAGAAAAAGGCCTATGTCCTGTGTGGACAACGATGTGTTTGGTTAAAGTTGACTGTTGGCTAAACTGTTGTCCACAGAGCTCACAAGAAAAAGGCTTCTGTCCTGTGTGGACTCTCATGTGTCTGTCTACACTTCCCTTATGGCTAAATCTTTGTCCACAGAGCTCACATGCAAAAGGTTTCTGTCCTGTGTGGACACCCATGTGTGTTTTTAAATGGGTGTCTTGGCTAAATCTGTGTCCACAGAGTTCACAGGCAAAAGGCTTCTGTCCCGTGTGGACTTTCATGTGTCTGTTAAAAATTGCCTTTAGGCTAAATTTTTGTCCACAGAGCTCACAGACGAAAGGCTTCTGTCCTGTGTGGTATTTCCTATGCAAGTTTAAATTTGCCTTTCGGCTAAATCTTTTCTCACAGAATTCACAGACAAAAGGCTTCTGTCCTGTGTGGACTCTCATGTGGTCGGCTAAATGAGATTTGGTTCCAAGCATTTTTCCACAGTCGTCACAACTAAATGATTTTTGTTCTTTCTGGACTTTCCTGCACGAGTCTACATGTTGCTTCACTCTAACACATTTCTTATTAACCAAAGAGCCTGAAGACCTTACAGCTGAATGACCTTTCACTCTCACATGTTTCTGGAGAGACCCCTTGTGGAGAAACTGTTTACCACACTCGGGGCAGCTAAAGGATTTGTTGACATCTGACTCAGAAGACCTGCTCTCGTTCCAGTCATCATCTCCATCTATAGTTTCAAACCCAGAGCCATAATCCTCATCACCATCTCCACTAACTTCAGTCTCTGAAGAATCGGATGTTTGTTCATGAGGGTTCAGATCTGGGTTCCTGCTAGTTCCTGCTCCTCCAACAGTCTCTGCTGTCATCTCGTCAGATGAGCTGCTGGTTGGAACATCTCTGACTTCTATTTGCTGCTGATGAAGCTGTGAGAACAGAGGTTTCTCTTCATCATCCTCACTCTTTATAGAAACAACAGTGAATGGAAACCTGGCAGCATCAGTCTCCTCCTTCAAACATAGATGCTCTCCCTCCAGACTGGTCCAGAGTTCCTCCTGTTCCTCCTTTATGAGAAGACATTCTGGGTCCTGTTGGTCCACACCAGCACTCTGTTCTTCAGGATCTTCTTTAACCAGAACCACCTGTTGAACATCTGTAGGAAACACAGACACTTGATGCTAATTATAGACTCATGTAACTTTATGTTCACAAATGCAAAATCAAAATGGAAAAATCAGAACAGCAAAAGTTTGTTGATTTCAGTATCCCCTCCCTCCATTATCATATTATGTTGGGTCGGGTTGCGGGGGGAGCAGCCTAAGGCCCAGACTTCCCTCTCTACAGCCAGTTGGGCCAGCGCTTCCAGCGAAATCCTAAGGTGTTTCCTGGCTATACGAAAAAAGTAGTTTCTCCAGTGTGTCGTGAGTCTTTTTTTTGGGTCTCCTCCCAGTTGGATGTGCCTGAGAAACCTCACCAGGGAGGCGTCCAGGAAGGATCAGATGTCAAAACCACATAAACATACAGACTTTGAAAAAATGGGACCCAATGCCTCCCTGCTTGACACTCAGCATTAAGGGGTGGATAGGGGGGTTAAACCACCAAATGGTTCCCGAGCGCGGCTGTGCCTGCAGCTCACTGCTCTTTCGGGGGATGGGTCAAATGCGGAGGACAAATTTCGCACACACATCAGTGTGTGCGACAACTGATGGGACTTTAACTTTAAACTGGATACTCTCAATTGCCACTAAGGCCTAGTCCACACGTAGCCGGGTTTTAAAAAAAAAAATGAATATCCGCCCCTCCAAAAACTTGCATCCACACCACCTCGTTTAAAAAAAAAAACTGTCCACACGTGCCCAGATAAATACGTTGTTAAGGACATGCCAGACCTGTAGGCGGCAGTACTTCCCCCGTTCTTAACCTCGTCCTTCGTCTGTGGTCTTCCGCAAGGAGCAGTAATTCCGCTTGCAACAACAAACAAGCAAAAAGTGCTTGGACAATTGATAAAGCGAGCGCAGCTCCGAGGGCATCCATACTGTTGGCTAGTGTAAACACAGGTCACACACGTGATGTCAGCATTTTCTTGTCGCGGAAAGTGACGTTGCGGACCTTAAAACTCCGGTTTTGTCTGTCCACACGCAGACACCCAAAACGGAGAAAACACAGATCTTCACTTTGGCAGGAGTTTTTAAAAAGATCAGTTTTCGTGTGAAAAAACTCCGTTTTCGTGTGGATGACAGGCCAAAACGTAGGAAAATATCTACGTTTTGGCAGATCCCCGGCTACGTGTGGACAGGGCCGTATACACTGGCATCGGCTCCACTCCACTGCACCCCGACCACCACAGCCCGGCCGTGTTCGTTCCACACTAGCTTAGGAATGCAGACGTGATTGAGCACATGGGTGGTCTGTGATGTCATGAGCGCATCTCCGAGCACATGGGCGGGGCAAAGGAGTGTGGAGAAGTCTGCAGTGTCTCCATTATTAAACAAAAGCAGCCTGAGCAGTCTTGCTTTTCGAGACTCTGATTTTTCATCCTGCTTTGCTGTTTTAGGCAGCACCTGTGTGTGTGTGTGTGTGTGTGTGTGTGTGTGTGTGTGTGTGTGTGTGTGTGTGTGTGTGTGTGCGTGTGCGTGTGTGTGCCTCCTAACAGCAGTGGGATGGAGAAAAATAGCTTCAGTCAGAGGCTTAAATCCACAGCGTCCAGACCAAGCTCTGACTCTGGTCATATAGGGACCCAACAGCCCATATCAAAGGGCCTGGTACCCATACTGCCTATGTACCACCCAACGCCAAAACTACGGTTCAGATGTCCAAATGGATTAACATCTATTAACGTGAGCCCAGGCTGAGGCCTTTCTCTGGAGCCAGCTCTGATGCTCATTAATTATTAGGGATGTCCCGATGCAACTTTTTCACTTCCGATACGATACGATATTGCTGCCTTCAGTATTGACCCATACCGATGTCAATCCGATACGGTATCAGCACAAATCATACACACTTTTACCTGTTTCGTAGTGTGGCATGCATGAAAGGCTTGAGCAAATGATGTTACTCAGAGAACAAGAGCCAATAGCAAGTATGAAAATAATGACATTTGTTTTTACCATTGGTTGTAAAAATGCAAACCTTAACGGACCACCTATATCGGAGAGTCCGATATAATCAGTTACAATGTTTTTGGGCCGATATCGAATTACTTTCGTTATTGGAACGGGACATCCCTATAAATTATTCAGAATTTTAAATGGTAAATAAATGGTAAGTGACCTGTATTTGATATAGCACCTTTCTAGAGTCCTGGAACCCCCCAAGGCACTTTACAACACACAATCACACGCTGGTGGGGACGAGCTACAATGTAGCCACAGCAGCCCTGGAGCGCACTAACAGAGGTGAGGCTGCCGAGCACAGGCGCCACTGGACCCTCCGAATACCACCAACAGGCAGGGGGGGTAAGTGTCTTGCCCAAGGACACAACAACAGTGACGAACTGAGAGGCTCGAACCAGCAACCTTCCGTTACTGTGCAAGCACTTGACTCCTGTGCCACCGTCGCCCCTTTAAATTCCACGTAAACAGAAAAGCTACAAAAAATGAATGAAATGATGCCCAGTTGTTGAGAAATATTGGCGGCCTCTTAATATATAACCACTAAAATCAGGTCTAAAATACATGGGAGCAGGTCTAAGTCTCTGGGCGACGCCATATTAGATGCATGTTTCCTTTTACGGGAGCCCGCGAGGACAAAATGCATTTACTGATTAGTAACAAACGATTACAAAGCTTTCATCATTCTTAAATGTTGCTGTTTTACACAGTTACCTCTTCACTTGTTGCCAGTGATGAAAGGGAGTCTGATTGCTAAAGTTTGCACTCCCCATAGCTTTTTGACCCTAATGGGCATCCGTTGGTAAGGTCTCACTCCAACACGAAAATACTGCTTGCCTGCAATGATTTAGGTATCTACTGGCCCCTATCACCAGGAAAAACACATACCGTCACTTTAACACACACACACACACACACACACACACACACACACACACACACACACACACACACACACACACACACACCAGTACCTGTGTCCATGCTGTCCAGGTCCAGGTGGTGAAGAACACACGATGAATCAGTCCCAGATCCTGAAGTGGTAGCAGGTTTTCTTTAGCCGTGTTTAGCTAACAGCTGCAATAGAAACAAAGCAGGAGAGCTGATTAAGATGCTGCTTCAGAACAACGCAGGAGATTAAAGATCCAACGCTTTGGTTCTGATCAGCTGAGGACAGATCCAGTCTGGAAAAGAGGACCTTTGCTCACCAGAGTTCACGGAGTAGAGCTAACCGCTTTTTCCTCCAGAGTCACATTCAGATTCGGGGCTTTTCCGTCGGAGAGTGTGAGCAGGATGGATCAGAGAGCGAGCAGCGATCCTGCATCATGACCAACTCAGATGAGCGAGTCTGATAGAGGGAACCTCTTCAATCTGATGAAAGCAGCAAAACGAGCGCGTTTCTCAGAGAGGCCAAAGGAACAGCAGCAGATCCAGAGGGCAGGAAGTCTAGAGAAAAGCTTTTCTCACCCACAACCTGATTCTGGAGCTCCGATTGTCACGAAGACCGCAGAATATCTTCTCTGGTTCTGGAAAGAACTCCACCAAGTTGTTGAGGAGGAGAAGAAAGTTTCCACAGCCTGGTGAGAAGATTTCTGCAGCAGCAGCAGTTAGTCGCTTTAGCTGATCAACTCTCCCAGAGACTGAAGTGAAGACATTTTTACTGCAGAGCCTCAAATATTCTCCTCACACACCAGAACAACAAGCTAGCTCTGCTAGCAGCTTCCGGTTTCTGCTTCGTCCGGTGGTTGCTGACCAGCGTAAAGGTGCACTACCGCCACCTGCTGGACTGGAGTAATTTCCACAGACGTGTGTTCAGCATTTGACTAATAAACCATATTTTAGGTAAAGACAAGTTATGTTTCTGTTATATTTTTGTTATTTTTATATTTGCTTCAAAACCCGTGACAACTTTTTAAAAAAGCGTTTTTCATTATGATGTTCCTTTATTTTAATTTGACCAAGTTTTTTTTCTCTTGACTTTCTGACCTCAATCTGTTTTTCATCGAAGCAGTAGAAAAGTTAAAAATAAATAAATGACTAGATAAAAATTTGGGAAGGTGTTAATTTGGCAATGGTTTCATGTGATGCTTGTTGTGTTCAGTGGAGAATAAAGTCGGTAAAGACGGCTCTCCCTTGCACTGCCTCCAACATGCCTCCATCTAAAAGGCTAGCTTATCAGTTTTTAAATTGGCTATAAAACACAAAAAGGTAAAGTTGCTGAAATAACTAAATAAAATGATAATGGCTGTTACAAAGTTGTTAATATTATATTAACGTTTACACAATATGTCATCGGTGCTCCGGTCTTGGGTTTTTCATGTGCATAAAAACCATTTATTACAGATTTTGTCCACATACCGGTGTCCGACGTCTTTATTTAACATATCCCCGTGTGGCAAGTGGTAGTCATAGCATAAATTAATTAGAGGATAAAAAGTTGCAACAACGCCACCCTGGGGTAACCCCCCCCAGAGAAGGGTAGAATAAGGCCCATAAGTCCAATAATCACTAGGGGAACAGATGGTTTCTTTTCAATAAAACAAGTCTTTATTTAGATATCCAAGCCAAAACATACAGATGTAATAAGTTCTCGGAGTCCAGTTATCATAGGTCAATCCACCATAATTTCCCACAATAGCCTATGGTGAACAAATACAAAAATAACGTTAAACATGCAAAAAGTAAATAAGCAAAATACACCAAAGAATAATGATGAAATCAACGTACAACAAACACAGCAAACTAAATAAAGATGAATCCCCCTTAACCCTTGTGGGCGTTCTGGTGGTTGCCCTGGCAACCAGACGTCTGACGCCCAGCATCTAGTTAAAACAAACCAATGAAGACGGAACAGTGGTGATGCAGCCCCCTGGGCACACCACCAGCTCTGGAGATGGGATTAGTCGTGGCGGGACGGCGAGATGGAGCAGCAGAGGGAACGGTGCTCCGCCGACGACGTCAGACGCTCAGCTGATCTAGGTGGGGCGCTGCAGGCAAAGCCAGATAAACAAAGCGGATCTCAGGCCAACCAGCGCGGGCAGCCACGCTGCGAACAAACAAAACTAGCATGGTCCCCTGGATCAACACAACCCTCCCCAAGCAGAGGCGAGGATTTATGGTTGTTGCGCCATTGGATCAGATCAGCCTTCATACGGCTAACACACCCACACGGGCAGAGAGCTAACCAGGAGTACCTGCTTGCAGTGTTAACACTATAACTTATGGGCAGCAGTAGCTCAACAGGTTGAGCGGGTTGTCCAGTAATCGGAAGGTTGCAGGTTCGATCCCGGCTCCGGACAGAGAATTCTGCTGTTGTGTCCTTGGGCAAGACACTTAACCCACCTTGCCTGCTAGTGGTGGTCGGAGGGACCAGTGGCGCCTGTGCTCGGCAGCCTCACCTCTGTCAGTACGCCCCAGGGCAGCTGTGGCTACATTGTAGCTCATCACCACCAGTGTGTGAATGGATGAATGATACACTGTAGTGTAAAGCGCTTTGGAGTCCTTACTCTGAGAGGCGCTATACAAGTGCGGGTCATATATCATTGTCATTATCATAACAGCATGCGCAGCTCCATTCTGCGATCGCACGCTACAAATAAATAAAGATGGAAAAATGAGCATGAACTAACAGTGGGATATATGCTGGATTCCTGGAAGGAGTGGAAGATCATATGCCTCTGCCAGCTGTCCATTGAGGACATCGAAGATGTGTGGATATTTGGCCTGATGATCACTGGATTTCTCCTGATTGGAGTGGGAGGATATCTGGTTTTCTGGAAATTTGGGAAGACGGGAGCGATTGGAGGGCGACCCGCACCCACGGATAGCACCGTCCGTAGACTTCTCAGACTGGGACGTTACTCGAGGTGAATCGTAAGCTGGACAATGTTCTAGCTGCGATACCGGTGTCGGTACAAGATCTGCTCGGGTGCAAGATCGGCTCGGGGTCCTTCGACTGCCGATGACGGCAAAACCCACTCGGACAAAATACACCACATCTATACTGTTGGAAAGAATTTAGCAGTTTCATTATTAAAATAATGTTTCATAAGACGTAAGTTTGTGTTTATAATGGTATTTGTAAAATAAAACACTATATTGTATTCATAATGTTGAACTCCTCTTTGAGCACATGCCTTGAAGGATCATAGGTATTAGCAACACCTGTGATATTGTATTTGCAGGAAAGAAGTGTGTCCGGTTTATTGAAGTATTTTATGTTTAGAGTTTTTGACATCTTATCCATGCGTAGTCCAGTTACACTCATAGCTGCTAGCCAAAACTCTGGAGTTAAAAGTTTTCTGGCTTTACTAAAATACATGTCTGTACTTATTTGATTGATGGTAGTTTTACTTTCTAATAGACTCCAAATGTAATCATTTGGCACGTTTCTAATCCATAATTTGTAATAATGTAATCGGTGATATTAGCATTAGCATTCCTATGGGTTTTTCCACATATATTAGCATTGCGCTAACCACTCGCTGCCAAATTGCAGCCTTTGCGATTAGAAAATCTCCTTTTGTCATATCACAATTTAATTGCACATGCAGTTAATCGTTCAGCCCTAATATACATGCAGCTCTATGCTAAAAGTGTATTTTCAAAGAGGTAATGATGGATTTCTTTGTAAAAGTTGTCCATCTTTCCAACAGAAAGATTTGCCTGGACCAACGTAACGTGATAACAACGCAACGTGATAACAACGTAACGTGATAACAACGTAACGTGATAACAACGTAACGTGATAACAACGTAACGCGATTACGTAATTCCGTAAGGTTCATGTTCAGCCAATCAACTACTTTGACGTCATCAGCAGTCGAAGGACCCCGAGCCGATCTTGTACCCGAGCAGATCTTGTACCGACACTGGTATTAGTGCGCAAAATGGATGTCATCTCGGAGTGGGTCACCGGACGGTATGGACAGGTTTAAAAACCCAAAATTGGCTTCACTGAAGGACTGGAAATGATCAGTTTAAAGACTGAAGGCAGAGAGAAAATTATCTCAGCCTGACCCAAAATCTTGTTATCTGAATCTGATGCCCTGGTAGCCTTGAGCTGCAAGCAACTAAAACCCCCCACGAAGGAATGCAGACAGATGCTGCGAAAACCTGACCCCCACCCCTCGGATTGGTGGACTTCAGCCTGGCGAGGTCATCAATCTGTAGGAGTCAATGTACTCTTTGCTTCTCCCAAGATCTCCTTCCCACCTGTGACTGTACTGTAGATGAGCGCCAGATGGCTGCTCTCACTGGGGGAAGCAGGATTTCTCTGTTTCACAGGAACTTCCTGTGATGACTGCTTTGATAACTTTTAAGACTTTGTGCCGATGATCCACATGAATTGTGTAGTGGATGAAATTACATCATTAAATTAGCTCAACGTGATAAATAAAATAAAATAAAAAAAGACTGATAATATTGTGAATGACATTATTTGCCCCACCCATAGATGGAATTTAAATTATTATACATGAGCTAAAGATGGACAGATAATAAAAAAAAGCAAAGAACCATGTAAAACACAATAACCTGAAGCCTATTTGTGGTTTTTGTAATCCAGATTTAGATCTGATCAGATTCCTTTAGTTGGCTAACTGGGTTTAGTCCTGCCTGGTCCTTGTTTCCTGAGCTGCAGGTGTAATGACACCAGGTGGGCTTGTGGTTGGGCTCTCTGCTTTTTGTGAAGCTCCACATTTTTCATACCAAGATTGAGGACCACTGTAAAGTTCACCTTTTTTTATTTTTACATATATTTATTCTGTTGCAAGCGTAGATATGCATATTTCTGGCCACAAACCACTGAAATGTTATTTGAAAGTATTGAAAAGATAATAAATGTCACCACAAACCTGGAGTTACCAGACTAAAACTTGGAGAATACACGTTCACAGCTTATACTAAAGAGAAATGTCCAGGTGTTCCTTAAACGCCCCAGCTCTGAAGTCACATGGCTCTGTTGCTCCACCTCAGAGTTGTCATGCTGGTAAACTAGATCTATTAAACCTAAACAAAATAAATAAATTAATAATAAATAAATAACTAAATAAAGGAACCAGACTGTAAACATGTTTATTTCTGCTGTGAAATTGGCATTTTTAACTTGGAAGTCAATGAGGGTTTGCTCACTTCTGCTGTCCGCCCCTAGTGGATGAGGGTGGAACTGCAATCGTTGCCACTTCTGTGTCAGCTTCATAAAACTCCCAGGATTGTGGGGGCCTGGTTGTGATTAAATGTTTAGAAAGAGCTGCAGCTGCAGGTAAATGCAGCTTTATCTCAGCTGTTTGCTTGAATGATTTAATAAAACACTACTAAGTGGCAAACTGCTGTTCGATATTATGAAATTATTTCATCGCTTGTTGCTTCTTAAGCGTCCTTTAATCTTAGGGTAGCCCAGACCGATACTTTGGGATTTATTTTAAACGAGTAAGGCTGCAGCATCCTGGTGGCCATCTCTTACCAGAAAAAGTATTTATATTAGTAACATTAGGTTTGAATGAGGTTAAATACTGGTGGTGTTTACTCCGAACTCAACTTCCAAAAAGGAAAAAATAACATTGTGACGAACCCAGAGGTTTCCGCCCTGCTGTACACCTGGTGGCACCCTGCTGCAGGCCTCAAGACCCGCAGTGCTACCGTTCACCACCAGAGACCAGCAGAGTGATGAGGAGCAGCTGTCACTAATCATCAATCAGCTGCCCCTGAAGTCTTTTTAAGCCTCCCT